CCAAAATTCCCAAATCACTAAATCCTTTGAAAGAGCAAATAACTAATCTAAGAGTCATACAAGAGGTTGAAGAAATCCCTATCTTAAGAGTAAAAGAAGAAGAGAACAAGAGTGAAACTTTGACGAAGCCAAAAATGAGATCCTCTTCGATTAGATTGAAGCTGTTGACAAGCTCTACCTTTTTCTCCAAAGAGAAATAGTGGAGAAATCAACGGATGATGGAGTATTTGAGATTTTAAGCAAAAATTAGAGAAAGAAAGTGAAAAATTAGGGCTTTGGAATGTTTTAGGGAGAAAGAGGAATGAAAAAGTGATTCAAAAATCCATTTTTCTAAACCGATTTACGCTCAAACCGATTGATGACCAAAACATCGGTTGAGCATCAGAGATGATAAGTGACACCATTTGAGCGACCAAAACACCGCTTGAGCGTACAATGACCCCTTCCCAAACGTTTTGTAGACTAAAAAAGACCGCTCTAGCGAACAACACCCTACTCCCATAAATTTTGTAGACTTGCAAAAATACTAGACGATCTTAAAGGCCACTCAAGCGACCAAAACATTGCTCAAGCGAACAAGTAGAATACGGAACAGTAACTCTTTTCAAAAACTAACTCCCAACTTGTTTCAAATGCAACCAACAATCCCAACTCAACTACCAACAAGACGATAAAGATATGAACAATAGTTAAATGTACGGAATCCCGAATCTAAGAATACAAAATGGGTCGGGTCTAAACTGAAACCGTTATAGGAATCAGAAGGGTTAGACTTATGAATGACTGTCTTCTTTTGAAATGGTGGTGGAGATTTGGGTCTGAAGATAATGCTCTTTGGAAACAGATGATTTGCAATAAATACAGAGAGGTAGAAAAGGGCTAGTCACCACTACCTGTTGAAAACCTCAAGAAATCTCTAAGCTGGAAAGATATATTGAGTGTCGCTTGCTCTAGTTTGATAAATGGGTTGGCAATGTGTGTTTAAAAGATGAATTCCCTAGACTGTACTCTGTGTTTATGGACAAAGCTGAATCTGTGGAAGTGGTGCATAGTAGAAGAAATGGTAATGAGGAGTGGAGTCTTATTTTCAGAAGATCCCATTTCAGTGGGAGGTAGAGGAATTGAGGAGGCAGAATGTGATGTTACTCAACGAACATGTCCATAAAGAAGGTATGCTTGATAGTTTGAGGTGGAATGCAAATACATCAAGTTCTTTAACTATTGCCTTAGTCTATAAGTGATGTGAGTTGTCTTCTGAAGCTATAGCAAAATTGTTGATTCCATTTGGAAGAATGCTTCTCCATCCAAGGCTGAATTTTTTGGGTGGCTATCATGGAAAACGAGGATTAAGGCATCTAGCTACCTTCAAAGAATTAGTGTTCTCAGTGGTGAAACAAATGTAAATTAGATTTTTTTTTTTTTTGTAATGTTAATGTGGAGAATGTCAACCATATGTTGCTGTTTTGCCCTTTTGTCTAGCAGATTTGGTCTAATATTATCAATTGGTAGGGTTTAAAATGGACAATGCTTGGGTCTGTGAGTAGCCTTTTTCATTAGTGGGTTGGTACTAAACTCAAAAAACTGGAGATGTTGATTTGGAAAGCCATCCCTCTGGCTGTGCTATGCTCTATTTGGGAACAAATAAAATGACAACATTTTTAATAGCTCACAATTGGATTTTTAAGGTTTGTGCGAATCTATCAAGCTTATGATTGCAATGTGGATCAAAACCTCATGCCCATTTTTGAATTATTCAGTGAATAACATTATCTATAATCTGCAACAAGTTAAATTATGCATCTTGTTAGTTGAGCTGCTGTTGGGTGTGGCCGATGTTGGGTTGAATTTTTGGGTGTGGCCCTATTTGATGCTTGGGTCTTGGTTGGTTGTTGGTCTCTTGTTCAATTTGTTGTTGTTGTTGTTGGTTTCTCACTAACCTTTTGTGGTTGTGCTAGCAACTGATTGAATATTCTCCTTAGTGCTAACCTAATTGGGATTGTGGTTTTTACTTTGATACTTTTTGTACTTCCACTTCTTTATTGATGTAATCTCATATGAAATATATGTTTTCTTCATCAATAAAGATTCTTTTTGCTAATAAAATAAAATAAAAAAGAAGTTGAAATTGATAATTTCAAACTAAAATTAAAATATGATAATAATTTAAAGAATAAAAGTGAAATTAATCCAAAATTCATAGATTTGAAATAATTAATTATTCTAATCTATCATTTTGAATATGTTATTTGGATCCAAGGTATACATGAATGATTTCAAATTGATATTGTTGTCTTATAAAAAAAAAATTTGAAAAATTTAAAAAATTCAAAGTGGGCAACACTGTTGAAAAAAATGGTTTTATAGTGACTTTAATGTGAAATTAAAGTAGGTTACAACCATTGGTTGATGTAGGATTAAATGGATTTAGATTCTTTGTAATAAGATCTTTACAACACGAAAAGAATAACAAAAAATCATTAAAAATTGAATAAGAAATTATCTCATAAAGTTGGCCTCATGAATGAGGTATTGGAAATTGTGTATACTTACCAATCTCACATTGATTGTAGAGGAAACCTTTGATAGGTATTTGAACCTCAAGATTTTGATAAGGGCATGAGTCCTTTGGGTTATCCAAATTTTCTAGAGGAAGGGAATTATGGATGCTTCAAGGATGGGCTTAGGCCAAAACTATAGTCCAAGTTGGTTATGAAAAAATTGCCACACGATCGCTCGGACCAGACCAGACCGGAACCTGGTCCGTGGGCCATGGATCTTGGATCTTGGGCTAGGGCTTGAGGGAATGGTTTAGGTTTAGGCTGGGCCGGATTAGTAGTCCACCAACCTAATCTTTTTGGACGAAGTCTGTCAAGTGGTTGCAGATATGTATATATACACTTGTGTATATTGTGTGTAACTCACACATCCTTCTCTCTCCCCCATGGTGTATAAATAGTGACCAACTTCTTTGGTTGGAGATACAGAATTTTTTGCCATTCTTGTGTGAGAGAGTACTGCCATTGTCGGTTCGCCAAAGCTAACAGAAAGTGCTTCTATGTTAGCCAGTCTAAACCGTCGTATCTTGGGAGACAGAAGCCGATGTACCTCTTGCAAGATGAGGCAACTAATCTGTTTTAAGGAGACTGTGGTATCACACAGGCTTCGATTTGCTTTATTTACCATTTTATTGTATTGTGTATTTCTGTGCAATATCATTGTAAATTCCAACATTACCATTTTATTATATTGCGTATTTCTGTGCAATATCATTGTAAATTCTGGCATGTTTTCTTATTCTGTAATTTAATTTGATTAATCATGAATCTATTTATTTTAATTATATACACAATTTGTACAATAATCTTAAAGCAGATTAATATATATTTCCCATGAAATTGTACAAATAGAATTCATGATTGGGATGTGGATTTTATATATTGTTTATATGTTTGCTACTGGTCTTGGCTATAGACTACAATTGCACGCTAATGAATAATGAGATATTGTTTCTTGGGCATAAGATTCCTAGCTATACATGCAATGTAACATATAAAATAATGCCACTGTTTCCCACCTAGAGTTCATGATTCCTTTAATCATATATATATATATATATATGTCCCTAAGATTTGCTATTAGTTCTATGCCACTGTTAATTTTATTTATAAAAAAAAAAAAAAATTGTTTTGTTTTCTGGAAAACCAAAGCTGTTTCATTTACTTTGTGATTCAATTGATATTTATTTGATTAAATATATATATATGTTATGTTCATAATATTCTTACATGCTTATAGCTACTTTTCCAATGGTACAGAATATGAAAGTGCTTGATTGGGGTTTTATAGATATTTGAATGTATATCTCATGTGCTTCGGCACTGTTCCCTAGCCCTAATTAGTCCATTGTTGCAATGCATAATTTTGTGCTTAGGAAGCCACTTGTATCTACATATTAATTTATTTTGCATATTGTTTGGTTTGAGTGTAAGGTTATAATTTGATGAGTATGATTCCTAATTTCCTACCATGATTTGTATGTTCTAAATTTTCTAAATTTTAGTTTATGTTTCTAGAATTAGTTGCATGATCTTATTTCTAAAATAATTTACATGTTAATTGCTAGAAATATTCACATGTTTATTACATCGTTTTGTTTTGTAAAAACTTCATATAACTTTTGCCTATTAAATTTTTAATTTAAGTATTGTCTATATTTATTTACTTGGTCATTGGGTGAATTAAATTTTAAATTCAATTTTAGAGTTTTAAGTTTTATTTGGGTAACTTATATAGCATTTTAATTTTGCTTAATTTTATTATTCATTATATTGCTAGAAGGGTTAAATACATTTATTGCTTTTACAGTTTTTTTTTTCCAATTCTTTGCTTTGTATTTTGTTGTGTTTACAGGAATACATATGCGAAAAAAAAAAAAATCCAAATCCAAATGAATAGTATTGGGATTGTAAAACCACAAATTTGGACTACTAACTTTTTGTTGAACAGAAACACCTAAGCGAGGAAAGGAGTTTAGAAAATAATAATCCTATTTGAATTCGTTTACATTAGTTTATATTTGAAGCAATTTTTTGCTTGGATTTAGTTGGTTATTTACCAATTGTGTAGAAACATGTTTTATTTGCTTGTATTTGCAATATTTTAATTGCTTGTAATTTGTTAGTAATTTTTTTGTAAATTGCATGTAAGTTTAGAACTTGGATTGTTTTAACCCAGTTCATCCCATGGAAAACTTAATTCTAAAAATTGTTTCCCATGGACTACGAGTCAACATACTCTTGAAAGTTTTATCTAAGTTTAACTGGGTTTTAAGTGGAACCGATATGACCCCTCCAGTCTTCCTGAGAACTTTCCTGATCATGTTTGATTCTAAGTTAAGTGGTGAGACTAGTTTTGAATTAAAATTCCAATTGTGGAATTTTCTAGTGTTAAGTTTAATTTCTGGAAACACAAAAGGTGAAATTCTATTGTATTTTTCAGAAATGGCAACTGTCACTGATGCTACTGATGCTACTGATGATGTTGTTGCTGCTAATGTTGGTGGGGATCAGAACCCCAGGGCAATTGGTTTGCCAACCTCTATTGTTGTGACCTCTGTGGTCAACCCAGTTGTTATGACCTTTGTGGTCAATCCTGGTGCTACTTCTACTGACAGAAGGGCCACTCAACCATCACGAGCGCCCGGAGAAGTTTGCGGGAGTGAATTTCAAGAGGTGGCAGCAGAAGATGTTGTTCTACCCAACTACTCTTAGCCTTGCGAGCTTTTTGAGTGAGGATCCATCAGTCATGGAGGAGAATGAGCAAGACAAACAGAAGCTTATGGCTTTAAATGCTTGGAAGCAGTCAGACTTCCTTTGCCAGAACTATGCTCTGAATGGCTTGGCAGATTCACTTTTCAACGTGTTTTATGCCAAAAAGTCAGCAAAGGAGCTATGGGATGCTTTGGACAAGAAGTACAAGATCGAGGATGCTGGGGAAAGAAATTTGTCGTTAGCCAGTTTATGGACTTCAAAATTGTGGACTCAAAAGCCGTCATTAGTCAAGTCCACGAGTTCCAAGTAATTCTGTACGAGATTCATGCAGAGGGAATGTTCCTAAGTGAATCATTCTAGATAGCTGCGTTGATTGAGAAGCTGTCCAATGGCTGGAAAGACTTCAAAAACTACTTGAAGCATAAACGAAAGAAGATGATAGTCAAAGAGCTCGTTGTCAGGCTCCTAATTGAGGAAGACAACAGGAGGAAATAGGGAATACCTCTACTGTAAAAGCAAACGTAGTTAAGCATGGCCAGTCTTCAAGGGTAAAGAAGAAACTACCGACAGGCAAAAGCTCAAAGCTAGAGGCAAGAGGCGGTGTCTCCAAAAGGCCGGTCTACAAGCCGCAAGAACCTACTTTTAGGTTTAATGGAAAGTGCTTCAACTGTGGAAGCAATGGGCATCAGGCAATTGACTGTCGTAAGAAAAAGAAACCTTACAAGAAGTACCCTCCACGGAACAAGAGTTGTGTCCACATGGTTGAAATGAAAGATCTATCCCAAGATGTGGACGACATGCATATGTCAACTGTCGTCTCAGAGGTGAACATGGTGGGGTCTAACCCAAAGGAATGGTGGGTGGACACTGGGGCAACTCACCGCATTTGTGCAGAGAAGAAGACGTTCACAACTTTTGAACTGGTTTCAAATGGTGAGAAGTTGTTCATGGGGAATTCTACGACCTGAACTGTTGAGGGTAAATGCAAGGTGGTCCTGAAGATGACTTCAGAAAAAGAGCTGAGTTTGAATGATATGCTATATGTGTCGGACATTCGTAAGAACCTTGTCTCAGGGTCGCTCTTAAGCAAGCATGGCTTCCGCATGGTTTTTGATTCTGATAAGGTCGTGTTGACCATAGTAGACTGGGTGATGTAAATTTTGACTCTTTGCGTAGATTAATCAAGTTAGATCGCATACCATCTTTCAAGATTAATCCAAATCACAAGTGTGAAACTTGCGTAGAAGCAAAATTGACAAGGACTTCTTTTCATTATGTTAAAAGAAGTATCGAGTCTTTGGATTTAGTGCATAGTGATGCATGTGACTTGAAAGTCGTACAATCACCTGGTGGCAACAAGTACTTCATCACTTTTTTTGATGATTGCATTAAATATTGTTATGTGTATTTGCATAAAAGCAAAGATAATGCGATTGATAAATTTATTATTTTCAAGAACGAAATTGAGAATCAATTAAGCTGAAAGATCAATGCTTTAAGAAGTGATCTTGGTGGTGAGTATGAATCCCCGTTTGCTGAGATTTGTGCTCAATTTGAGATTATTTATCAAACCAAAACCCTTTATTTCCCTGTAGACACCCCATTTTTTACCGTCCTTAAGATTTGGGCGTTTCATTCCAAACACCCGATGATGAAATGTTATGATGTGCAATCTTTCGAATCTTCAGTAAAAGAATTTAGTTTTGGGCTTCAAACCCAAACCTTGCACCCCATTTGGACCAAAACCTATTTTTCTAGCCTGACCACTCGAAGAGCAGCAAGACCAAAAGTTGACCGGTAGGCCACATTTATTGGGTCGGCCGTACATTCTCTTGGCCGGCCATATTTAACAAAGCAGATATTTCTGCAGCAGCAGGCTGCTTCCATGCACAGGATTTGGCTAGTTGTTCTCTGAAGGTACTTCCTACGCGAGACACCAAAATTCTATAAATACAGCACCTCCCCTCTAAGTTTAGGGTGAGAAAACTGAATGAGCAAGCATTTCCAAAGGCATACAAAGCATTATCTACCCTCTTGAATATAGATACACTATAGATACACCATTGAAGTTTGAATTTCAAGCTTTTGGCTGAAGTTTTGATACTGATTTCAGATACTTGAGAGTGTTTGGATTGAAGTTTATGAATCAAGTTCTTTCTCTTTTCTAGAGGTTGATGTTTGAACTCTTTTCATCACCTATTCTTTTACTCTTTGTTCTTCATTCTCTGTTTTAAACACTGATTTTCAGAGTGTGTTTTAGGCTTTAAAATATGATTTAAACCTTGTTGAAGGTGGAAGGGTAATCCTTCCATAGGCTTATCCATTAGTGATGTTCATGTTTTTGCTTATTTTTCTTCAATTTCAGCATTGTTTTGTATGAATATGGACTGTGTATATGTGTTTAAAGCTTCAAATAGTTAGTTTGATTCTTGTTTCTCTCTCTCTTTGCTTCAAAGTTGTTATGAGCTCTCTTCTAGTTCCATTTTTGAAGCATGAAAATGGATGTCTCATCCATATTCCATAAGTAGGAAGATGAGCATACAACAACTCTTTATAGCTTTCATTCATTTGCTTAGTCTTGTTTTGATTTTGTTTTGAAGCCATATGAGAGCTCTTTCATCGGAACTATAGAGACTCTCTTCTAGTTCCTTTTTTGAAGCATGGATATGGATTTCAATCTATCTTCCATGAGTAGGAATAATAGTCTATTTGCTTCTCTCAATGATATAACCTCTTGTTTTGTAAGCTTTGTTTTCAAGAATCGCTTTCTCTAAACCTATTCTCTCTAAATTTGAGTACTCGCTTACTCTTATTTTCCATGAGATAGAGTAAGTTTCATGCCATCTCTTTGAATGCTTCCTCTTCTTAATTTGCCTTAGCTTTGTATTCATTGATTTCCGTCTCGTTGCTTCATTAATCATCATCTAAATACCCTTAGGATGTTTGATGATTTATGAAGCAAACCTACTCTCTCCTTGAAAATCTTCACGACAGAAGGGAACAAGAAGGATGAACATCCTTTGGAAACCCTCTGTTTTTGCTCTATTCTAGTTTTGTTGCAACAGGTCTTTCTCCAAAAGAAGTGGCCGGCTGGTCACCATCTTGTACGGCCGACTAGTTCATCAGGCCGGCTAGCCACCTTGTTTGTACGTCAATGGTGGTTTTTTAGCAAAACAGAGCAGATCTTGAGGATCAAAAAAGAACTATTTTTTGGCTGCGAATAGAGCAATTTCTAGCAGTAAGCAGAGAGGTTTCCAAAGGATGTTCTTGCTTATGTACACGCAATTCCTTGCCTCTCATTCGATTCCTTTCGATTAGTCACTTTGAGATTCGTATTTTTAGTAATTAGTTAATTAGTTTATTCATTGGTGTTTGTAATAATTAGTTAATTAGGACATTCGGACCCTCTTATAAGAGGGAAAATTTGTAACACTTGATGTATGTCTTCCAACCTCCATCTCTTTCTCTTTTTTATTTACATGCTTATGTTTTCCTTTATCATTCCCATTCTTTGTATCCATTTTTGCATACATTAATGTTCGACTCATCATACTTTATGTCTTTATTATTTCCTACTGGATTATGTGCTCTACCTCATGCTTTGAGTTAATTCACATGTCATGTTAATAGTCGAATCTAGTAATTACATTTTTGTATGCGTTGCATTAGCCATTTTGCATATTAGGATCATGAATTTTTTCTAACTATCTTCTTTTCTTTGGCTTGTCATGGTTAAGTACTAGGTGAGCATTTTTGTTTTAGCATATCATATGTGTGCTTGTGTTACCATGATGAGCATACTACCATGAGGCTACGTGCTTACTTGAAATAACTCTTTGAATACCTGTGGATGGAGGCCATTTTGCTTACGTTGGAGATGACTTTGGATCACTGTATATGCGAGCTCATTTTTCTTTGAGTTGTGCATATATTTTAAACCTTAAAACCCTCTTTTTGAAAATGTTTCTACGATGTTTCGAGGCTTGCATTTCATTTTAAATATTGCACTTTTCGGTAAACCGAGCAAGGACAAAGTAGAAATAAATGAAAGGGGAGTGAACTTTTTGAAAAAATCTTTAAAAACATCTTATTCATAGGTTTGGATTTGAAGAAAATTGGAGGAGATGGAAGAAAACTAGTTGGGAAAATGGTTGAGCGTGAAACCGTTAAGAGAGAACTGAGCAGCCTTCACTAAATCAGGCATATCTCTTTGCACACTTAGACTTTAGTTGTGAGGCCACCACCATTGGAAATTGGACTTTTGGGGCTTCATTTTAGACTCAATAATATCCTAAACCCGAATCCGAATGAGGGAGATATGGCCATTTGAAGTTAGGCATCAATCCGATTAAGATAAAAATGAGAAACCTTCACTAAAATAGGCATATATATTTGCACACTTATAATTTAGATGTGACGCTTCCACCATTGGAAAGTAGACTTATAGGGCTTCATTTTAGACTCAAGAATGACCTAAAACCGAGTCCGGATGAGGGAGATATGCCCGTTTGAAGTCGAACCTGGAAGTAGATTTTTGTGGACGGTAGGCCACCATTTGTGGCCGACAATTCACACTTCTGGCCTACCGGCCACTTGTGAAAAATGCAGATATTTTTGGCCAGTTGTCTCCCAAAAGCTCCAGCTGTTCCTATACAGATATTTTTGACCTGAGGGGTTGTTTTTCTATATATATCAAGCCTTCCCTCATGGTTTAAGGTTACAAAAATTTTCCAAAAGTCCCAAAACTTGAAATTCTCTCTCTATCTCTATCTTGCAACCTATGCACCCACTCTCTACACTTCCTAAACTAATACCGGAGCTCTCCTTGTTGAGATTATTGAGTCCACATTTCAACCCTTAAGTGAGAACTTGTTGGTTTGTGAACAAAAGTGTTATTCCACTTCAAGAGGTATAACTACTAGCTCCTTTGCACTTCTTCTTTCCTATATTTTCTTGTTGTTTTTGAATTGTTTTTGAACTGTTTTTATGAGTTGAAACTTGTGGTTTAAAGCTACCAAAGGTGGAGGGGTCAACCACCATTATTTGAACCTTGTTCTGTAAGCTTTTGCCCTTGTGTTTCCCATTCTTTTCTCAAATTTTTTTGGGCTTTTTACAACTAAATTTTAGAGTTTTTTAGAGGCTAAAAATCATGTTTTGAGGTCTCAAAAATGGAGGGGTTAGCCACTCTTCCTTTGGCTTGTTTACTAGCTTAAATTCTCAATTATTTTAGCTTAATCTTTTAGTTTATCTAAATTTCAACACTTTTTTTGCTTACTTTAGGACTGTTTTGGGCTAGTTGTGTCATTTATGCTTTATATTACATGCTTGTTGTGTAATGGTCCTCATAAGTTTAGTGGTTTAGGCCTTAAACACTAACATATTTGAATTAATAGTATTTATTTTGAGCTTTTCTTACTTGTGATCACCTTTAATCACCTCTGCAACCTCCCTCCTTTCTTGGCTTTTCCTTTTCTTTGAAAGTTGTTTCAAGCCACTTGTTTGTTTAAAGCTTGAGATTGAGGTCTTGTGCTTAATGGTTTAATCCCTTTGGAGATTCATCACCAACAGCATGGCACTTCTCTCATGCCTAAAACAACTCTTAGTTTGATGCTTCTTTCCATTAAAGGACTTAAAACTTGCCTCTGGACTTAATTTACTAAGAAATAATTGGTAATTTAAGATGGAGTAATAAAATGAGGACTAAAAAATGATACAAGATAATAATTTGGTTAGGGTTCAATTAGACATTAATTGAACACTTAAGTATTGGATCGTTTCGTACTTGTTAGTGATGTAAATGGTTCAAAATTCAATATCAACCATTTCCCTTGATCAATCCATGATAGGGAGGGAGTTTGAGAGTCTTTATTTGTTGCATCTATTGAACTTGCACACTTTGGTTTATAGGCCATCATGCAATGAAATTGCATCGATTGATGGTTTGTGAATCAAGTTTACCACTCCTTTG